CTGCAGGGAGAGGGGGCATCAGCGAGGGGCTGCGGGTTGGGAGTGAGGGGCACCAGCAGGTCTGAAGGGGGGGGGGCTGCGGGTCGGGGTCTCCTCACCTGTCGATCTCGGGGTTCTGGCTCATGCTCTCCCATATCCGGTGCAGAGTCTCACGCAGGGACGCGACCCGGGGCCCATCAGGGGTGTCCTGGCCCCCCAGCTCCTCCATGGTGACCGACCGGGCCGGGGGGGACCCAGGGCCCTGCTGCTGGAGTAGGGACCGGACGAACCTGGAACGGAACCAGGGGGGGCGGGTTACCGGGCCGTGGTGGGGGGCAGAGGAGGGTGTTGGAGAGGAAGGGGCCTGTCGGACGGAGGGGCTCAGGGGGTGGGATCTGGGACGCACTGGGGGGAAGCTGGGGGTGCAGGAGAGAGACTCCAGGGGGAGGGGGCTGGGAAGCACTGGGGGGAAGGTGGGGGTGCAGGAGAGAGACTCCAGGGGGAGGGGGCTGGGAAGCACTGGGGGGAAGCTGGGGGTGCAGGATACTCCAGGGGGAGGGGGCCGGGACGTTCTGAGTGTGAGATAATATCTCACGGAAAGGGGACAGGGCCGGAAGGAGGTTTCAGTCACTCCCAGCCGGGTTCGGAAGAACTGGGACTGACCAGAGCTTGGGGATGCAGCCGGCTTTGTTCAGAGCAAGGGGGGCTGTTTGCTCAGGGCTCGGGGTGTCAGCAAACCAGGGTTGTCTATTGCTACAGCTTTGCGTCCAAGTTCAGAACAGGAGTCGGAGGATTTAGGAAGACACTTGAGGGAACTGGTATTATTGTCTCTCGGGCTCTTGGCAGGATGTGGTGACCCGCAGCTGAGCTGTTCAGTGGGTAAATGACCCTGTGCTAATTCCAGGATGTTTGGGAGAGGGTAAGTGAAGCCGCTTGTATTCTCGGGCCGAAAAGCTGCAGGAAATGTATAAAAACCCGGGACACGATCCTGCTTCATCTCAGATCCGCTTTGGGTTTCCAGAGGGGGGAACCCTGAGCCAGAAGGATCGAGATCCCCAGTCGCTGACCGGAGTCGCCCCGAATACGGACATTGGCCTGTACCCGATGGACTGTTTCTAAAAGGACTTTTGGCGACTCCGAGCTCCTCTCTGCCCTGTACCTGAACCTCAAGAATTGAATTCAATCTGTCTCTACAGTGAGCGTTTAACCAACGCGCCCTCACTTTTCTTTTTAAATAAATGTTAGTTTAGTTAATAAGGTGGTGTCGGTGGGGGAGGGGCCGTCGGGGCTCTGGTGAGGGAGGGGGCGCTGATGTGGGAGGGGGCACAAGGGGGCACTGGTGAGGGAGGGGCCGTGGAGGGGGAGGATTTGGGGCGCAGGGCAAAGCCGGGGTGCAGGTGAGAGACTCTAGGGGGAGGGGTGCTGGTGGGGGAGGGGCCTGTGGAGGGGGAGGATTTGGGGGCGCAGGGGAAAGCCGGGGTGCAGGTGAGAAGGTCTCAGGGTCTCTCCCTGGGAAGAGGGTGCAGGGCAGGGGATTGTAGTGGCTCAGGGGAGGGGGGCAGAAGAAAGGTGCCGGGGGAGGGGCACGCGGGAGGGGAGGGGGCGGAGCTCCAGGGATCCCCGTTCCCAGGGGGGGTCCCACACTTACCCCCGGAGCAGGGACGCCCCGATTTGCTTGATGCAGGAAATGCTCTCGGCACCTCAAAAGGAGAGAAAATTCATGCGGCTTCCTGCACAGAACCCAGGCGTCCGGGCTCCCAGCCCCTCCCCCACTAGAGCACCCCCCTACTCCCCCAAGCCAGGGATAGAACTCAGGCGTCCGGGCTCCCAGCCCCTCCCCCCAAGCCGGGGAGAGAACCCAGGAGTCCGGGCCCCCCTCCAGTTTTCCCCGCGTGAATCGAAAGTGAAAGCTCCCCCCCCCCGGGGGGGCCTCCTACCGGTGGGGGATGGGCGAGCTGGGGCAAATGGCAGCCCCCCGGCCTGGTGCGTCTCCATCCCGCTGCTGCCCCCGGACCCCGCCCGGCCTGACGCTGCAGGGCAGAATCCGCATTCCGCCCATTTACACGTGTCCTGCCCCGGGCCAGGAGCCAGGACTCCTGGGTTCTCTGCCCTGCTCGGGGAAGGGAGGGGGAGGGGTTAGTGGTTAGGAACAGGGGGGCTGGAAGCCAGGACTCCTGGGTTCTCTGCCCTGCTCGGGGAAGGGAGGGG